AGAGAGAGAGAGAGAGAGAGAGAGAGAGAGAGAGAAATGTGAGAAGTCGCTAATATGTTAAGATACACGTGGTATGATTTAAGGTCCTGTTATTCTTTCTCTTCCCCAACCTGCCTTCTGGAATTGCCACTATTACGTCTGTCCCACATGTATTTTTAACCTTCAGGAAAGAGAAAATTATGAAATGTGAATATCTCACCTAGAGGAAAGGAGGGATATCCTTTACTCAAGAGAGGGGAGCCCATCAGATCACTTCTGAGTGCTGCCTCTGAAGGGTAGCATGGGCAGGGTCTCTGGGATGAGGGATTGGGGACCATGTGAGTGGAGGCAAATGTTTGTGGGTCACAGGATATGGGAGGGGGAGTGCCTGACTGACCCTAAGGATTCTCTAGAGTCCACGAGGGACTCCTCTAAGGTGGACAAAGGATAAAGGAGAGACCAGAAAGTCCTACTTAGACCTCCAGGCCTCATGGCAAGGGCCCCTTTTTTCTCGATGGGTTTACAAAAAGATAGATCTTAATTTACTTTTTAAAAAAATTTTTTTTATTTTAAAGGGGGTAAAATTAAACACAACAAAACAGAACATAAGAAAGCAATGTAAGGAACATAAATTTCAAAGCTAGATGCCCTGAGAATAGATCTCAATTTAAATGTACCTTTATTCTTACTACCGTTTTAATCTTAGGAGGTGAATCTTAGTTTGTCATTTGTAAAGTGATATTGTCCTCCTATTGGGGAGAAAATTGTTCTCTGGCTTGTACATTCGTCAAATGAGCATATTCTGAGCTCTCACTAGGTACTGTGCACACTCAGTACTAACATACTTTCCTCCTCTTTCGTTTGGATATGAAGCCATATGACTAGCCTACGCCAGGTTCAAGTGATTGCTCTCCAGCACATTCAGAATACGGTCCTAATATTGTAGCAAATGAAGAATATAAGAAGGATGGGGTGCCATTACACCTGATATTCATTCATCTGATACACATTTGTCAAGTTTCCTTGTGTGCTACGACTGGGGAGACAAGGTGGTCAGAGCTCAGCCCCTACTGTCTGTGCTGATGGTCTAATAAAATAATCTTAAGAAAAAATGATAGGACTAGGTTAGAACTGTAAGTAAGACATCACAAATGTGGAGTAGAAATACATCACATACCTAATTCTTTATGGAAAGGGCAGGGCAGGATTTTTGGAAGTGGTGACTGTTGAGCTAAAGGGTGCGTAGTTTTCCATCCTGAGGGGAGTACTGGAGAAAAAAGATATTGTAGGTGGAAATAATAGCCTTCGCCATGATTAGGGAAAGAGCAAGGACAAGCGTTCAGCATGAGCCAAGCCAGGTTAATGTACAGGAAATAAATAACAGGTGTCATTTAGGGAACAGGAACCTCAGTTCAGCTGTGATGATGCCCTCGTGACCTAAAGGGCTTTCCACTCCAGGGAACTATTGGACTAAAGAATGCATGCATGCATGACTGAATGTTTTCTGGGGCACTTGACTATCCAAAAAGCACTCCTGTAACATGCTTCACTTGAAAGGGGGGGAAAAGAATCACTGTGCTTCACAAAGTGAGTTTTACTTTTTTTTTTTTTTTTTGTCTTTTTCTTTTTTATCGGTACTGGGGATCGAACTCACGACTGCCTGCTTGCAAGGCAGTCAAAGTGAATTTTAAATAGTGTTGTCACTGGATATCATCCTTGGACCCTGACACCATCTGGTCAGAGCTGCTTCCTAAGTAGGCCTGGAGTGCATGATGGGGAAAGACAGTCACAGCCTGGGGTCCTCTGGCTTCAGCATCGTCAGAAGCCAGCCAGCAGTCCAGGACACACTGCAGGACTAGTGGTATTCACTTTTCACAAAGTCCTGCCTGTCTCTTGCCCATGAAAGGGTCCATGTCTCTGTCGATAACTAGGAGATAAGAAGTAAGAGTCTTCACATCTGCACTGAAACAGAGAACACACTGTCCAGCACACTGGGTGGACTTCTTGCTCTGGAGTTGGTCTTTGCTCATTCTAAATCCGCAGACTACCACTCAGTAGCTGAGTGACTGCTGACAAGCTTCCTAAACTCTCCAACCCTTGATTCCTGACGTGCAGCGTGCTCTCATGGTTCAACTTATCGGGGACAGTGCAGAATTATTACCCGATACGATCATGAAGAGGGCCTCCTTTCACTCTCCAAAGTACTCCAGTCTGGGTGATAAATTATTTGACTCCCCTCTTCATCTGCCTCTGTCTTACTGCTGGGGTTGTTACGCAGGTGAAACACATTAATATTGTTTTAGTTGGGACTATTTTAAATTTATATGGAAAATATCATAAAATAAAATGCATTAATGTAAACAATGGCGTACTTCACATAACTGAAACTGATTATTTTCAATTCCAGAGCTACAGAGCGGATAGTCTATGTCATTACTATTGGTAATGACAAACAGCTCCTCCTCACCGCTTTCCTTCTCCCTCCTCGTTAAAGTCCCTAAAAGTGTGGTGACGGGAAGATGGCAGGGCAAGCTGCCCAGGGCTTTGGAGCCAGCGGACTCCCTCACTGACTCTGAAGTACCCTGAGCAAGAGTGCCCTTGCCATCCATGGCAGGTTTGTATAAAGCGCCGGTGAGATTTCCCATGTGGAAATGATCTGCAAACACAATAGGAGTCCGCCAGGCTGGAGGACTTCAGCAGTGATTCATAACAAAGGCTTTCTTTCCAGACATTCTTAAGACTGATCTCTGATTTTTGTAATCTGTAAATTCCAAAAGAATAAATACCACTGGATTTCAGAATTGACAAGAGTTGAGGATCAGGATAAGATGCTCCCAGAAGGTGAACTTGAAAGGGGAAGAGAAACGATAATGCATCCTAATGTTACAAAAGTGATACATGTGATAATTGTGATGAGAAGTATCTACTGTATCTGATACTGATAATTGTTCAATTATTAGATGCCTGGAATGGCAGCACAGAAATGAATCCGGGATGCTGACTTCAGATCGCATTAACCTGGATTTGAAGAGGAAATGAGTTTTGCAATAAGGTGCTTAGAATAGCACCTGACATAGAAAGCGATCAGTTAATAAAGGTATTACTGTGATGACTTTTAGCCTCTGCTAGGTCAAGCGCCAGGCTGGAGGATGTTGCCTCCAATGTTATGCCCCAGTTGCTAAGAGATCATGGACCGGCACCTCACCTTCTCTCCTTGGTTGCTCTGAAGAAGTAAGGATGTCAGTTAACTGAACAACAGTGGGTTACAGCAGGTGAACCAAGGGTTGGGTTGTTTCTCTTAATATAGATGTTTTTCTTCTAGGTCACTTGTATGGAAAAAACTTTCACCAAGATAACACATTTTTTTCTTAGAATTTCAGGGTGTCAGAAGCATATAGATCCCCCAACAAAAGGAGCAGAGAGAAGATATTTGGCTGCTTCCTGCATTGCCACCAGTGCTACCCAGGATTTTTAGCATTTGAACTTTTGTTTGCATTGCTGACATCAGGGAAGCTGTGGAAATGGGAGGAGTCAGGCTGCAGGAGATATTGCTCACTTCTGGCTGTCTGCATCCTGAAAGCTCAGGGGTGGCCAGGCAAGACTCACACTGGTGTCCAGAAGGTAGCTGAGCATTTGCTGCAGCTGTCTGGCGTCTGGTCAAAAATGGATCGATCTCGTAAAAAGGTGGCACGAGGGCCTTACTCTGTAGTGATAAGCGACTCTCAGTATGTGTAGATTACATCGCACAGAGCTAAAAGATACAACATACACACACATACATGAGTAAATATAGGTAGGAAATGGAGAGATCTGAATGTGGCTTATAGATTATAGTCACATCAGTTTCCTAGTTTGTCCGTCGCCGCATCCGTCCCGCGGAATGGAGCACACGAACACTTAGCCTCTGCAAGCACCTTTATTGACTGGGCAGCAACCTCAATACATGTCCGTCCTCGACGGCTTCTTCCGTGTTGTGCGTCGGGCACTTCCTATACTTGGGCTTATATAGCTAATGTTATCCAATCATGGGATTACACGTGGGGACAGGCGATTGGGCGGCAACAAGGAAGCAATCAATCATTACCATATATGGCGGGGACAGTAAGCCGAGCAAGAACCAGGAAGTAGGATGTGTGCGCCATCTTGGGCACACGATGGGCGGGGGAGCAGCGAGGCGGTAGGCGGACGCCATCTTGTGGCTATATTCTCATGGGTAATACGGCAGGCTCCCAACACTAGTTTTTATGTAAAATGCTATCATGAGAAGAAAGTGACAGAAGCAAGGTGGAGGGTGTGTTATTTTGTGACTTTTTGTAAATTTATGATTATATCAAAATTAAAAGCTTTTAGATGTTTTACTTTTTATTGAGTATAACTGACAAAACCAAATATATTTAAAGTGTACAACCTTGAAGTGTACATTAAACATGTTTTGAGATACATATACATTGTAATATGATTGCTACAATTAAACTAATTGATACATTTATTATCTCACATATTTACAGCAATTCTTTATTTCTTCCACTTCACAGCACAATAGCACAAATTTAAAAACTATCAAAAAAAGAAGAAAATGTATTTATTATCTCAATCCCAGTGACAGACTAAAAAAAATCAAGGAAATAGTATTCTGGATGATTTCTTGGTATCGCTATACACTAATATACTTTTAAAAATAAAGAATTGACAATGACATATGTACTATTTTGTGATTTGTTATTTCAGTTAACAGAGTACAGTAGATACTTTGTGGCTTCAATAAATTAATATGAACACCATGACCTCTTGTTATATGATTAATAACTTTCCGCCCCATTATTTTTCCTTACATTCCCTCTTATTTCCTTCCATTTGTCTAATAACAGTCTCCCTTCTACTTACATATCTTCATTTTTAGAGTCCATATTTTAGGAAAAGCATGAAATATTTGTCTTTTTGAGTATAGCTTATTTTACTTAACACGACGATCATCAATTCCATCATATTCTGTTCTAAACATTTTATTTTATTTTTTATTGTCTCTATAGAGAGTGTCAAGAATTGCCAATACTGACTACGTTTCAGGTCGTCATTGGGGAGTATTGGGAAAAGTTTCCAATTAACAAATCTTGCCTCAGAAAAACCTTATTGGCTTTGGTACTGCTGTTGCTCAAAGCTTCCATCCATATTTTTACAGATGGTTGAATTCTGTTTTTCTTTACTACTGAATAATGCTCCATCTATGTATACAACATTTTCTTCTGTCATTCATCTACTTATGGGCATCTAGGTTTGTTCCATATCTTGACTATTGCAAACTGTGCTGCAATAAATGAGTATGCAGATCGACCTGTGCTGTGCTGACCTAAATGCCTTCTACTATACAGCAAGCAGTGGTATAGTTGAATCTAATGGTAAAAAAAGTTTTGTTGCTGGGGACTTAGTTCAATGGCACAAGCGTCTACCTGGCAAGTGCGAGGTCATGAGTTCGATCCCCAGTACCGCAAAAAAAAAAAAAAAAAAAAAAAGTTTCGTTTTATTTTATTTTATTTCTATGACTCCAGCTACAAATGAGGCAATTTTCTGTTATGTTTCTTTGATTATATTTGGTGGGTTGAGGAATAATTAAATTAGTTAACATATATAAAAGCATTTTAAATAGTGTCTTTCACAATAAAAAAATTTTAAAGTTCAATTATTTCTTCAACTTTCAGAACACTTGATGTACTTCTTAGATACTTTTTCCACAGCAAGCATGGACTTTAACTGAAGTCTTTGGGGTTCGCCACATTTTATAATGACTTGCTTAGCACCATTGTATCTGAAAGCAGTGGTTTTCAGTTGTAATTGCGTGGAAATCATCTATAGATCCTGGTAGAAAATGCAGATTCTGATGTGCTCAATCAGGTTGTCAGTAAGCTGCTAAAACTGGATTAGCTGACAAGAGATGACATGAGCCCCCTTCTGTAGACATGTTCCTTCCATAGTGCTTCAGAAAGGATGAGAGCACTCCACGGAAAAGCTGCAAATGCCCAGGACAGCGATGATGCTATTCCTCCCTTCCCTAGCAAAAAAGACACCGGCAGGTGGATTCCATTGCTTTGCACAAATTACCAATTAATGTTCCTTTATCCACTCTATTTTATACATTTTGGCCTCAGTCCTATGCTAGACTCTGAGAAATCCAAGAGGAGTAAAATATATATATATATGTATTTTAAAGAAATGAAAAAATAGAAATAAAAGTTTCAAATAAGACTAATATGAGAGTAACAATAATTAATACATTGTGCATTGTTATCTTCATCATAGTTACTCAGAGAATAAGATATAGGTATGAAATAATAATAATAATAATGTTAGCCTAAATCTTTCTTTTTAATAAACTAAGAGAAACTACCTATATAACTACATTAAAAATCTGGTGTGTGTGTGTGTGTGTGTGTGTGTGTCCCTTTGAGAGATATATAATTACAGGTTTACAATCACATAGTGTGTCCTGTGCTGAGATAGAAATTCAGATGTACTTCAGAAGCACAGAAGATAGGACTGTGATCAGGCCAGCGGAACAAGGAAGGGATCTTAGTGGGGATGATGAACTGTAGCGAAATAGATGGAATCGGAAAGATGGGCTGAGAATAAATGGAGAGAAGCACTCTACCAACAAGGAAATCACTGGGCGCAACAGCATGGAAGGCTGAGAGGTAAAAGCTTGTGCTTGGAACTGCTGCAGATCCCTTGGCTGGCGCAGGTCTGCTTCTGTGAGAGTGGGAGGAGCAGCTGATGGATTTGGGAAATTCTGGATTAAATAAAACTGGACCCACTGTTTTGCCGCAGGGCGTTTCAGAGCCTTTGGTATGCCCGCCCTCTTCGCAAGTCTCCAGAGGGTTGTCATGTACAGAATTTCCCAGCTACATGGCACAGACACTCTTTGTTTCAGGACATCCTGTAAGACATGAATTCTCTTAAACATTCTTGGGAAACATTGGCAGTTCAAATAGGTTCTGACCAAGATTAGTGTTTATTAGACAAAATGAAGACAGCTTTTAGGAAATCCAAGTTATGGATAATCCTTGCCTTTTCTAGAACGTCATAGTGCTCCAGGAGTTCATGGGGTTAGCTCTATGCTAGCACAAGGGCTCTGTCTGGATTGCTGGGCTCCATTAATACCCAATTTTTCTCTTTGGCCACCAAATGGTCTCCTAAGATTTTGGCAAAATTAGAGGCATATGTAGTATATTGCCTTATGAAGGCAAAGGCTTCAGTAGATAATCTTAGCATTGCTTATTCAAGAAGAGAGCAATATAAAAATCAAAACTTAATCAAATTTTGAAGTATGACCAGGTTTGAGGAATTCATTAAATTATATTTTATTTTCACAGGCTAAGAATAGGACTGTTGATTATGTGCACACACACACACACACACATTCGCATGCACACACACACACATGCACACACACATGCACAAGATGCTGCAGGAGGAAGAAAACACTCTGGAGTAAATTCAAGTCCTAAAAATAAGTATCATAACAAATCATCAGCTCAGTTCTTCACTCCTCATCTCCTCTACCCCCACGAGTCATAAATTCTTTCAACCAAGAAAAATATTCTCATATGCCTTAGCATAGAATTTACTGCCTCTGTTCTCCTCAGCCCTTCCTCGATTATCAGCTTGCTAGATATTTATGGTGGCTTTCCCAAGGTACATGTGCTCTGGCTTCAGTCCCAAGGGCACTGCAAGGATGAAGGGTGTGATAGTCCTGTTCCAGCTCTCTCTGGCTCCATCCATACCATCTGGGAGCCATCTCTTCCTCAAGGGACTTCAGGCTTTATGCTTAAGGGCTCTTTTTCTTTCAAATTCAGATAAATACTTGTGAATTCTTGCTAAACAAAAGATAACATCTTTCTAAAAGCTAAAAAGTAGCACAAGATTCATGAAAGAGTGTAACGAGCCCCTCAAGTTTAAGTGTTAGGTGGTGGGTTCAGGGGTTGTTATGTTAGAATTACAAAAATCTCAAAGGTGAAAACTGACAAGATGGGTAAAGGAAAGAAGAGCCACCCGCGCAGCTGACCTGGCTGAGAGTAGAGGTCACTCTCTGATTTCCTTAGGCTGATGGTTCAAATATTTCTCCCTTGAGCTGTCTCATGCATTTCGCACTCAGTTTACATGTTAGGCACCTGACCATCTTTGAACATTGTTAGGTATGTGGAAAGTAGCAACTACCAGGTTGTGATCCTAATGTTAAGAATCAAAAATTCTGTGCATAATGAGGGCAGCAGAAGTGCCCAGAGGCTCCACACCACTCAGCCTCTCCAGTGCCTTCCAGTGAAGCTCCTGTTATATGTATCATGCCCTTCATCGCCTTGATTCAACCCTCTAACTACCCCAAATCCGAACTCTCCTCTGAGCCCCTGGACAGAATCAGGCAACTTTATTTTTAGAGGACCGTGAAACCCCTAACCTTTTGTTCACGACTTCAGAATAAATTTTATGGCAAAAGAATATTCACATCCACACACAGACACTCATCTTCCTCTAAACTCACTCTTTTTATAAGTCACCCCACATCTGCTCACTGTAATCCCACAGAAACCTCAAACCTGAAAAGCTGGTAGGAGGAGAGGTGTTTTACTGTATGTGTTAAAAGAAAACTTATTGGGCAAATACTGTTTCTGTAGCCAACTTTGGAAAGACCCAGCAACAACTTCTATCCTCATCACTATAATCATGAGCGAGCAAAAAGTAAGCCTGGGGCCAGGGAGCAGATACATCTCATTTTAAATTCCTTTGAGGAATAAAACTGCAGTTCTAGTTAGGAAGTAGCTTTTCTGAGGACTCTGGAAAAGACTCCAGAAATAGGCCCAGGGAGTGAACGTGAGAGTTGGTGCCCACCTGACATCTAGCCTGGACCCTGCTCTCCCCGTCCTAGAGCAGGCACAGGCACATCTTGAGATAGCCAGGACAGGACGCCTGGGACAAAGTTATGTTTGTTAGTTGAGAACACAGCATGGGAGGAGTTCTATAGAATTGAACTTTCTGCCATTCCTGGACTGGAGGGTGAAGTCAGCAGGTTATGCAGTAGGGTGACACTGTGTAGTCTCTTATTCTTGTGCAATCTCTGGCTTCTCTTCCTTTCTCTGCTTTCTGGCTACAAGTTGAGCCCCGTTCCTCCATCAGGCACTTCCATCATGTCATTTCTAACTTGGAGCCAGCCAACCACGGACTGAACCCTAGGAGCCTAAATAAACCTCTCTTCCTTAAGTTGTGAGTGACCAGTATTTTGTCACAACAACAGGCAAGTGACAAATACATCACGGAAAATTAGCCTTTGACTTTCAGTGTAAGAACTCAGCCTTGTGGACCCGTGATGTAGTGGGGGGGGGGAGAGAAAGAGCCAAATGGGCCGCACCTGTAAGGTCACAACAGAAAGGAGAACCTAGATTTTGAAAGCCAAAGCATTAAAGAGTCATAATTCCAGGCCAGCAGAATAAGACTACGTCTTATCACCCTGTACTTCGAGGCCAGGGACTCTGCTTCCCCCTCTTCAGGGCCTCCACAGTGTTCGAGTGACTACACACAACTGCTGGGGCGGGGGGCACGGTGCTGTGGGCAGTTACAAATTACAACCGCAAGGGTGTGAGAGCTGGGCTTGAGGAATTCCACAGTAAGAGTGGACAGGGGCAATGAGAATGGGGCAAGCAGGAGTGCCAGAGACGAGGTAGACAGAATAAAATGCTTGGTGTGGGAATGCCAAAGGTTAGGAAGGGGTATCATTTGGGTAAGTTTGTGTCTTCATTGGTTAGCCTTGTGTTCTGTGGCAGGTTGTACTGTAAATAGCCACAGACGTTTTGGAGTGTGCTAGCCTACTGCCCCTAGTGAAGACTGTCCCTGGGAAAGCCATAGGAGGAAGCCCCCGCCCCTGACACTTTCAAGTAAGAGGCCAGGATACCTGAGGGCTATGCACGATGTGCTGACTCTCTTTCCTGAGTCTTTTATACCCATGCAGGCCAGGGACTCTCCCCTCCACACCAGGAAATATCGGGACTTGTCACAGGCCAGAATTGATCAGATTTACTAATCTTTGAAAATCAGCCCCAGTGCCTAGAGTGACAAACTAGAAAATAATGAGTTGCTTTTTCCTTTATTTTTAAAATTTTAAATAGAAACATGAAGAG